ACACACACACACACACACACACACACACACACACACACACACACACACACACACACACACACACACAGTGGCCACAGTCATCATGTGCAGCATTCATTTCCTTGTGAATACACTTGACTAACACATAATAATCCTCAACACTGCTGGGAGACCACCAAACCGCAACACACACACACACACACACACACACACACACACACACACACACACCCAGGGGGACCACCTAGCAGAGGGGGCTGTCAAGACAAGATAAGTGTGTGTCTATCATCACATACTCTACGGGTACACACGTGCACCCACAGATGAATGTACACTAACAACAATAATAACAACACACTGACTGGGCTGCACTCCTGGAAAAAAAAAAAAAAAGCTCCGGCTTATCTCTCTCCCCAGATAGTGAAATGGATTAAGAGCCACATTTGGCGCGTCCTGAGAACAGGACAGATAATTAGAAAAAAACTCACTCCAACTGCAATCTGGATTCAACATGATGTGTGTGCGAGTGTTTGTCTGTCCTTACGCAGTCGAGCAACGGATGTGCGCGCGGGCATGTGTGTCTGGAAGACTGATGCAGTGGTTGACCCAAGACCCAATCCGTTAGAACGCACGCATTCATCTTGAAAACACACACAGCATGCCCAGACAAAGAGCTGTGTGTGAGAGGCCGTCCAGCATGTGTGTGATGTCAGCTGGAGACAGAGAAGGGAAGAGCATCATATCCCATTTATGCGTGTGTGTGGGTTTGTCCCCTGACACGAGGCGCCTGCGCATCGATATAAATGTCTGTGATGAAATATCATGCACTTCCTAAACCGGGCTAGCTTAACGGAAGTTTTCTCCTCAACCTACCTTTAGTCCTGCAGCTGTGTGCTACAGAAATGATATTTTTGTAAACACTAATGAATTTATGAGCATCCTATGAAATCACAGATGTGCTCAGGAAATCGACAACGTGCTTAACGGGACAAATTTGGGTATTTTTCTTTTATTTGGATTCCTGACCAGGTTTTACATCACAGAAACATATTTAGACATATTAAGGCAATGGTCATATGATCGTGGGCTTTTTCAGAACATGCCCTTTTCTACTCAATTTAGCCGGTATTGTATATGTGGGGGATGGCTGATCCTGGAAAAAAAGGAAAAATTCCAAATCTGAAAAAATATTGGAAAAAAAACAAAATAAGTCTGTGAATATGCGAATCCGCACATGACGAACTAACAATATGCAGGGGTTGACTTGTTCTAATGTCACCAAACACCACTAGATGGCAGACATGACTGAGTTGCGCTTATGATGGGGTTTATACTGCCCTTAACTACAACGTAAGCCTTTTTTTTTTTTTCTGGGGTTTATACTGCCCTTAACTACAACGTAAGCCAATTTTTTTTTTTTTCGGATTTGGAATGATATGCAGGACAAAAATAGTTCCTCAATAACATTTTTGAGTGAGTTGATTTGTGTGAAAAAAAAATTTACAAAATGAGTTGCACTGAATGTTGGTTTCTTGTTGAGCAGTTTTGTGCCATCCTTGAATAGTAAATTTTATGCAACAGAACCCTTTGCACTGAAAAAAAAGCAGTATGTTGTTATTTTGCTGTTTGCTTCGAACCTTTTGTTGTTGGATTAGGATAGTAGATCTTTCATACATGCATTAAAAAAGGCTCATTATCAATCATAAAATATATCAGAGCACGCATTTTGCACATGTGCACTTATTTTGTCCATATTTAAAATAACATTTCTGTCATCCATCTGGTTAGGTTAGGAAGTGTGTGGCTGTATATGAACCCCCAGTAGCACTGATGACAAACTGCGGCCATCTCCAGCATTCAAGTTGCCCTGTCCCTGATCAAAGCATGCTTTCCCAAACGTTTTGGGTCACCTGTTGCTTTGGCATTACAAACTGAAAATACTTCATAATATGAACAGTTTTCTGCAAAACAACAACAACAACAATAGCTTGAAAAGATTTGCATAAAGTTTTTTTTATTCATATGCAAATGTGGTCGGAGTCCAGTCTGCACTTCTGACAGCTGAAATGTTTTTTTTCTCCCCCTCTGCTAGTCTACATGAATATCCTCCTGCCTCTCCCTTTCCCTGTCTATTAGAGTCAAATCTCTATATTAATGTGCATCTATTGTATCCCCGCCTCTCCCCCTCTTCTATTCACCGCGCTACCATACGCACATGCACACTCCCTGTGAGAGGGGCCCCTTAACCAGGCTCTCCATATGCCTGACCCCCTCCTCCTCTTTCCAAAGCCCCCTTCTTCTCTCTCCATCCCCTGCTCACACTCTGGCTTCTGCTCTGTTGTCACTGCCCCATGCTGCCATCTGCTACAAGACAACAGTGTGCGAGAGCGGGAAGAGGAGGAAAGGAAGAGCGGTGGAAAAAGAGGAGACATGAAGGGAGCTTGAGTGAAGAAAGAAGGGACAGATAAAGAGATAGAAAGCGGGAGAATTGACGTGGACACGAAACAATAGAAAGCAGAGAGGCTGTCCATCTGCTCCCCCTCCTCAACATCCCCCATCCCGCCTGACACACAGGCACACACACCACAAAGAGAGTATTTAACCTCAACACACACACACACACACACACACACACACACACACACACACACACACACACACACACACAAGATGGAAGTGTGTGTCGATGTGTGTGGGGTGGTGGGGCATGAGGCAGCCCGAGATCTCTCCTTAACCCGTTCCTCTCCACTGAGTCTGCCTGTAATACACCCTTGGGCTGGCAGGTGATGAGTGGATGGAGGGAAAGCATGTCGAGGAGCAGGGGGAGGGGGCAACAGGGGTGTGGAATAGAGCGACAGAGTGCGAGGGATGAAGTCTTGAAACTGATCTGAATCAACACCATCACATCCAACAAGCCCCTCCCCTCCCTCAATCTCCAACCTCAATTGGGACCAGCTTGAAGCCCCCCCCGCCCCCCACCTCCCATACTGTCACTATGACAACCTGTGTCAATCATACAGTTGCAGTCCAAGTGGGGGCCGGTGGTGCCAGATTAGACTTGGCAGCCCAGACGTCTGCGGGAAGGGTTCATGTCCCTCAGCTTATTCATTGATACAAAAATTGAAACAAACATTAAATTGTATGTCTGGTCTGACTTTAATAGCATCAGACGCTGTCTAGACCTCCATAACCCACTGAAGATCTCTTTGGAGCAACAATAATGGTCTGTATTTTGAATCCACTATAAATCTGTATTGTCGTTGTATGGTGCGGATACAACAAAATTCGACTGCAAATCCAAGTTTGTATTTCACATGTAACAAAAATAAAATCGAAAAATACATCATGAAAAAGATAAACGAAACACGATTTAATCATGCTGTGCAAATAGCAGTAAGTGCTCATGTTTCACTGTATGTGCACGTGGCAGCAGAAAAACTGCCTACTAACACAGCAATATCTGCATGCACCCTTTCAAGCCTGATCCCATTTGTTATAACCGCACTGTTAAGAACAAGATACCCAATTTATTCTGGATTTTTATTATCTAGTCCATAATTGGATAAGGAACCTTATTTGGTAACTCACACTAAAAGAGGGAATTCGTATATATTTTTAAATAACTTTGAAATAATCTTATCATTTTTGTCAAAATGTGAATATGACCCGACAGCTTGACTTGAGCAAAATTATCTGTGGGAAAAAAAAAGCCTCATCTTGTCCCTCTAATTCGATTTTTAGCAAACCATCGTGCGCGAGCGGAAAAAACAATCAAAGACAAAAGTCATGGCTGACAAGTTGTGAATCATTCTCATGCACTGGCGGGCACGCTTAACAGTAACACAACGCTGCGGCCTCGCACTGACTTGTTATGTTAGGCTCGAGGAGCTTTGCGGAAACTAAGGTGGTATTTCCGTTTCGCAACAAAAGTTTAAAAGAAGGAATTAGGCAAATCCCGGCACAAAACAAGGCTAACCAGAGAAGCTGCCTTTCAGAGTAGGAGGGGCTACGGGCTGCTCAGAGGATTCAGAACCGATTTGGGATTAGTAACATTTCTGATCGACAGGTACATTTGTCACCCCTTTTGGATTTTTAATTGATGGTATAGTCCCCAAAATAAAACTTTAAACCAATAACATCTAATGTCAAAGTAATCTTCCATTCTGGCGGCTGCGGGATGTTCACTGTTGTCGCACATCCCAAATGTTTTTGATGTGGTTTAGTTCAAGCAGCTCATGTTCTTCCGCACCAAACTCATCCAAACCTGTGTTTATTGACCAGATTACGTGTGCTGGGAGTCGAGACCAACTCCCGATGAAATCATTTGAAGACATTTATCTTCATCATGTTTCTATCAGTGCAAACAAAAGTAAGCCACTTTTATAAACGTCAGTCAGTCAGTCAATCACAAGGTCAGCAAATTCACCCACTATGCGGAAGTACAAGAGAACTGCGTCTAGCATCGTGCTGACTACATGACACCTTCGCTCCTGCTGAGCCTGTCGAGCTCAGAGCCACTATGATGGCTGTCAGGTTTGGACACACACTCCACAGTGTAGGTCAACACACTCCGCAAACACTCAAACCCCCAAGGACCTGTACGTACACAGTGTCACACGCACCGAACACCAGTGCATGTGTAACGGGTGTGTGGGAGTAGGGGTGAGGAAGGGAGAGGAGAGGAGACAGGAGGGGTCTGCATATGACCACAAATGGAGAGAGCAGACACCAGCTGTCACCTGCTTATGCCAGCCCTATTCTCAGCTCCTGTGTGTGTGCGTGTGTGTGTGTGTGTTTGTGTGTATCACTGTGAACTCAGCTAGCCATGACTGGTTTCAATTACACAGCAAACTTTGACCCTGTGTAACTAAGCAGGGGAGAGGAACTACTGAGAGGGAGCTTGAAGTGTGCAAGGCAGGGAGTGGCTCATTCATGTCCAGAGACAGTCATGGAAGCCAAAAACTGTGAGCTGTCTTCTGCTCTTAAGTGCATTAAGCTAATCGCAACGGCAGCAGACTTACCCTTTTTCTGGGCGGTCCTCTGTCTTCATCCTTTTGAACCCGCCCTGATATGGCCACGCCTCCAGTTCGCCCCTGCCGCCCCCCTTTGCCTTCTCCAGCGGGAGGTCTGATGGTCATCCTGATCTCCGGTGGGCAAATATAGTTCTCAAGGCTCTTGGGGGGCTTCTTGGTACGCTTGGTGGTCTGGATCTTCAGCTTTAGACTTCCTTCCTGGAAGCTCGCTTCCTTGATGGAAAACTCCTGCTCTTCCAGAAGCCCCTCCCCGTGTTCTTCAAGCCCCTCCCCTTCACTGACGCCACCGTGAATCACATCATCACTACGTGCCAAGCCGATACCTCCCGCTCCTTCATTTCGCGCCGCCCCGCCTCCCTGTAACTCCGCCTCTTTGGGTCGGGCCGAGCCAACCAGATCCCTTGGCTCCATCCACTCTCCCGCCAGAGCCAGTCAGGGTGGGGGAAGCTGTGGCAGCCAGCCAATGGGAATAAAGAGGATGGAAGTCTGTCGAGCAGCTGGGTTGTTGTCAATCAGCTATTGAGGTTGGCTTGGTTGGCCCACTGACACGCTGGGAAGCCAGGGACAATCTGAAGAGAGAGCAGGTGAAAGATCTGATCAGCAAAAGAATGACAACTCCCTGAGGCTGCCGTCCCATCCCAAACCCTTATTAACATTAGCAGCCTGTTGTATGATATGTTTAGAAGAACACACAAACTCGCCGCAGAGCTGCACGGGCATGCCAAAATGCTCTAATTTACATTTTCTCCCAAGGAAAACAAACTTTTTTTTTTTTTTCCTCACTTAACATCCTTTCCCCCTGCTCTCATCTTTCATCGCTTCTTGCTAATCTTCCCTCCCTTGCTCCTTCCCTCATTTGAGCCTTCCCACTTATGTGAAGCAAAGCTATGCAGACACTGGTGATCAGTGCAAAATAAGACATTCCTCTTCACTGCTCCAAAACCAGGCTGAAGTTACCCTGAGGACACAAAGGAGGAAAAACGAAAGAAGCTGACTTCTGTTTTTTTCTTCCTTTCACCAGAGCAGGCGAGGAGGGAGGGAATTACACAGGGGGAATGGGAAGGCAAAACAGAAAGACGAAGGGAAGGAATCTAAATTCTTTCCCCAGATGTGGTTTACGAGCTAGTCTGGAAAAAAAACACAGTCTGAGCTTTTTTACACATGCATGCAGTGGCATATTGACACATTTGCATAGAAAGAAATGCACTGCACACTTTGACAAATAAATCTATGTGCAAAATGACAGCGTAAAACCTGCATTTACACTGAAAATCAGATGCTCTGTGTAAAGGTTGTGGAAGCCATTTTACTGAGGAAACTGAGCTTCCTTCAGTTTAGTGTGCAACTATGCATGCATGCAGTTTTTGTTTTGTTTTTGTAAAGAGGAACCTAAATAAACACTGGACTGCACATTGTTTGCTTTGGGGAATCCCATCAGTCATTATGAAGCTTGTCAGAGAGATGTATATAGTGCTGTTGTCACACAATTACTTTATTAACATTTGCACAGATGTAATTTCCCCGAGTATTAATTATTTTGATTTTAATTGTTCAAATATTACCTGTGTACATGACTCAAGTAGACTGCATGAAAGTTTTGGGACCTGACCATGATATCATTTACAGAAAACAGCCAAAAACACGGCAGTCGATGCCACTTTTGCAACACAGCAACTGCCCCCACTCTTCTGGAAAGACTTTTGATTCGATATTGACGTTTGTAGGATTTTTGCCCATCCAGCCATGAACAACATTTTTGAGGTCGGAGGTTGATGATGTTGGACCAGAGGGAATGCGTTAAAATCTGGTGTAATTCACCTCATACTTGGTCACTGGGGTTGAGGTTGTTCTCCCACACCAAACTTTTTTACCATTCATGAACCTTTCTTTGTGCATTTGAAACATATACAGTACTGTATACGGACTGGTTCCCAAATTTATAAATATAATGCTCAAAATGTGTTGGTAAGGTAAGAAGTAAAGTGAATTCGGGGGGAACCAGCTTTATTAAGTGATGGAAAGGTGTGCTCAAAGACTTCTGTCCATCTAGCATAGATACTACACATTTTCATTGAGGTTAGAGAAAAAATGTTTGACGTAATAATGACCTGCTCCTTCCAGGTCTGCCCTCTCTGTACCAGGCCAAGCTACTGTACTAACAGCCGATCTCCACCGTAATACCCTACAGACCTCACACCACATGCTTACAGTGTGATTGAATAATCATAATCCACGGCAAGGATTCCGACAAGACCACACACAAACTACGTGTAATCCACAGGCAGAGTATTAAGTGGGTATTTTGTACTGCATCGAGACAAAAGCCTGTTGAGCCATTGTGTTTTCTGATGTATAAAACATTACTCGTAAAGGTTCAGAACACCCCTGTGTGGTATTAAGAAGCTGTAAAGAACCCTTGCGGCGGTTTTGCATGTTTAACCTTCTGAACTTCAACACTACTGACATCCATTTACTTTACACACGGAATAATACATTTTAAGATTGATTTCCTGTCTGCCTGGTAGCTGGTTGTTGCCGATATTGAGAGCGATGCAGTGTCACAGCCGAACATATTTTGTTTGTCGTTGCAGTTGGATTTGTGCTGCTTTTTTTGGCCATCTGTAATCTCAGATGTCAACAGCTCCTCCACAAGGGAGAGTAGCTTGGCTGGGCGTATGGCCCCACTATGAGCAGGGTTATAGCCATCAGTCATATAGACTAGGTTAAATGCAAAGTTTGAAACATGACGATTCCGTGATTGGGACACCTGACCATTACACCGACAACACAATACGTGGAAGATATGGTGTTGCTCAGCTGTAGCGCTTGCATTCTTCTTTTGCGGTGTGTCCATCCACCCAGAAAACTCAATCAGAGATCACTGATGTTGGATCTGAGAGAAGGCCTCTCACACTTTCTGTTTTAATTCCTACGCAAAAGGTGTTGTAAGGGTTGAGGTCAAGGCTTTATAAGATCTCAAAATCCTGAATATTAAACTTAGCCAAAATTGCCTTTATGGGTTTTGCTTGTGAAGGGTCTTCCCCAAACCGTCTACAGAGGTGGGAGTCAAAAATGGCCAAAATGTCTTGGTGAAGTGCAGAATTAAGATTCAAGGGGGGGCTTTATCTTAACCCCTGACTGGATAATTAATTATGACTTTGTGTCAAGTCTCTGTAATAATATTTTGATACCCCGTTACAAGAAGACACCGGGTTCACGAAAACCCCGCCTCTCCTCCCTGTGTGGCACATCGCCCACAAAACAGTAATGAAACATTGTTATCACTAAGCAGACACGTGCCCGCTTTCCCATTAGTCCCTAAGCACACACCCCACCGAGCTCACTGTCATTCATTTGTTGTTGTATTTTTGCACCCGTTTAGCTTGTCTAAGGGACCAGATAACAACTGAGAAATATTTCTATTGTAAATTTCACCCTTAAATTAATTTTGCAAAATATACAATTGCATTATATACCATTAAGGAATTAAATGCGTACCATGAATTTTAGGCCATATTACTGAACCCAACACATTCCCAAACACAAATGGCCCCCGCCCCTTCCCCTGCCAACATGTTCATGGAGTAATCAAGTTTCGTGAACCCCAGAAAACTCCATGCTATTCTAATTATTTGGCAAAATCACCACTTACCCCCCCCCTTACTCACACACACACACACACACACACACACACACACACACACACACACACACACACACACACACTTAAAGCAATTGCCTATAAAGATTCAATTGAATTACCATTCTCATCAACAAGCCGCAGAATTACGCTTGTCAATTAGTGTATCTTGTGGTTCAAGACATCACCAAACACAAATGCCTTCAAGTTGCGTGTCGACAATTTAGCTGAACATATCAGAATCAGGATTAAAGAATGCTTGTAATCGCTGGCTCTGACATGATTGAACTTTGGACGCCACATCAAAGTGATTTTTTTTAACTCGAAAACTTCAGCCAGCCTTGCTGGTCACGTCATTTTCTGAGAAACTCTGTGAAGTGGGTGGGTTTTATGGTAATTAGGCACACAACTAAAGATTTGTAAGGATTTTTGAAGTTGTTTAATTTCACAAATTGATGGTTGGTCAGGCATTCCAAACAACCAATGATTTATATACGAACATCAAAAAGGTCAAGAGTGCGTCTCCTATAAAAATTCAGTTGCAGAAGATCAGACGCAACCGTGGTTGGTCCATGTGGCATCTTCGAAAGTCAACGCATTGTGGATTAAAACCCACATGACCCTGTTTGTTCCTCGGGAGCCTCCCCGTCCCTAATGTCAGTTTGGTGACTTGCCCCCGTGGCATGTGTGAAAGCCACTCTGATTGTCATGTGACTGAGCACAATGACAGGAAAAAGAGACAGCTGCCAACTACAACATCCCACACAGAGACATTCATGTGCAGGCTTCAAAGTGGAATGGAGCCATTACTACTATACTGGAGCATGACAACAAAATGTCGACATGAATTATGTGAATCTTCATTCTGGGTCATAACTGCATAAACTACTTAGCTGGGTCACGTCTGTCCCTCCTCCCCCATGCAGCCGCCCTAAGCTGTGTTAGTAGTTCTCTGTTACTGGCAGGCACAGAGTTTATGTAAGACTGACCCCTCCACGGGCCTCCCTCACCTAGTCCAAGCCACGCTGTCTCCTCTCTCTTGCTCTCTCTTATACACAAACACTCACATCCACATATGCATACGCACCTTGGTTTGCCTCAGACAGCAGAGGGATTGTGAGAGGCCAGACTTGCTGCATAAATAGCTTTATTATGTTCTCCAAACTGCCAGCGCTACACCAGCTTCTCTCTCAAATAGCAGAAGGTCACTCAGTGAGCTGCATGTAAAAGGCTGTGAATGGGACACATCATTTTGCCTCCTTCTCGCTCTGGAGACCATTATGATAAAACAGCGATGATGAAATGCAGATGGGCCGAGCTGAGGGGGTGAATGGTACAGACACACAGGCAAAAACATGCGTGTGTGTGTGTGTGTGTGTCTGTGTGTATGTGTGTGTGTGCGCACATGTGCGTGCGTGCGTGCAGGAGAAAACAGGGCGCGAGAGCAATGGGGAGCAAGAGATGGCAGCAGAAACACAACCTTTTAAGGCTGCATACCCAGCAGCCCAGCGCTTGAGGTGGACTCACAAATAGCGCTCACTCTCCCACCCACCCTCTCACTCTCATACTCACACACTCACACACCTGTATTGTTGATTGAGGTGAACAACTTTTTTTTTCCCCTTTGATAAGCAGAGCTTCGACCATTTCAGAGGCGTCGTGAACAGTGTTAGTCTGCCATTTTCATTTTTCATATTGCGCTCCCTCTTTCATTCCCATCCAATCGCTAAAGCAATGTTTTGAGAATGGTCCAATCTATGAGGGACTCATGAAAAGAGGTTTCTAACCTCAAAATCCAGGGGTGGCACACATCATTTTCTATACTGGAAATATATTTCGTCAGCTAGTTGCTCACCTCGTGTGAGTGAAAGCCACCATCTTCCCTCGAATGATCATTAATGAGGTCAAATAAAGAATAAAAACATTCTATCCTCAGCATCAATGCATGGATGCAAAAAAGGATAATTATGAATGACAATTTTTTTGGAACGCATGTAAAACTCACACATGCACACCAGCCAACTGACCATCGCACAGATGGCCACTTGCTATGACTGCAAACTGCAAGCCCCGATCAGGAAACCACATTTCACCTGCTATTCAATTTTTCAACCCCTGCAAAACGTGCGGCCAACAATCAACCGCTAATTAAAACGACTTGCACAATCCACACTGCAGGACAGATCGCATTGCTTGGTGTGCAGTGGGCCTAACGAATACAACAAAAATCGTCTGCACGCGTGGTTAAGAATGTCCCTGTAACTAAAAGGTTGCCTGTTTGATTGCCTTGAGGCGCTATCAGGATGTAGGCAGAAAGTTCTTCGGTTATCAGCACCCCATTACTCCACCACTCTTCCAACCAAGCACTCACAGCAGATTTGCCCTTGATCACGACAACTAATTGCACCCCTAGGTGCTGGAAAAGTTCCCACTGTTACAGTGTGTACTTGCTGTGCTCACTATCAAGATCAAATGTCAGGGAAAATTGACTAAAACGCATGTACATGATAGTAAAATGGTCTTAATGTTAGCAGTCTGAAGTTCTGAATAAGGACGGGCATAATCCATATATACATAAAATGAGTTGACTGTTAATTAATTGAACATTGGAGCACTTCAGGCCAAATGTAGTGAGTGCACTGCACCGTTGGTTCAGTCTCAACTAGTTTATGCTCATTTGTATGATAGTGGATAAAGAACATTTATTCAAATGTGCACCTCTTGTTAGGAATGTTGAACTTGCAAGAATTTAACGGAGTCCACTCTGAAGGATTAACGGTACACGGCGTGCACACACGGTATGCCAGGTCGCACCATTCTCACCTAACTACCCGACACAAGCAGACGAATGTTCACGTTTCACAGCGGCCACAAAATGGCTGTCAGCAAAAACACCTCTGCAACTCCCCACCAGCCTGTCTCTTCCACCTCCTCACCTCACTCCCACCAACCTCTGTTCGTTTGCCTCATCTCAGTGCTACCTCAACCCTTCTGCCTCCTCTGCCAAAAGGTGATATTCCGCTAAGAGAGCCTGCCAACACTTAGGTTTGTCCTTGGATGCTGTTCATATTCACTCCCCCTTTTTCCCTGTGATCCTATTTCCACCCGAGGTATCCAGCTCAGATGGGGATGCAACTTATTGATTCCTCATGCTTCAATTTAAAGATTGCACGGGCATCCCATTACCCAATAAGGAATTGGTTATCGAGTATTCTTTCGCACTGCAAAACGCTGGTATAGTTTTACCTGAATCCCATTAGTTCCACCTCTTTACAAGCACCTTTCTTCATATGCTTGTCATTCTTATTTTTCTAGAACTCACACGCCATATATCCGACAGACCTGACCAATTTTCCACACGTTCCCCAGATAATTCACGTGTGTCTATTTATCTTCCAGCGCTGAGGTTTGTGGGGGCTGCTGACAGCCACTGCTTACTATCCTTTCCCTTTCGGGCCTCACCTGTGGACGTACGGCAGAATAATTCTTTGCTGCCTTGTGTCACACACCAGAGAGGCCACATGAAACCCTTCTGAGATGTTGATGAATGATGTTCAGGAGCAGACGAAGAAAAACAAAATACCCATGATATACAATGCCTTGGGGGCTAATAATTAGGAGTACATTAGTGTACACAATGTACCTAGAGGGATGGAAGTAGGGTCCCGTTGCTAGTTCCATCATCCACTCAGGTGGCAAAATATTGGAAGAAACAGGTGAACATCAGGGGCTAAACTAGTCTGTGACCAATGTCAAATGAACACCTTATCCAATATCCTTCATTTCTTTGTTCACTGGCATACAAGTGTATAAATAAGTTGACCATGTTAATGCTACAGAAAGACCTTTTTAAAAAGGTGCACAAACCTTGAAACTCAGTTTTTCACATTCTTAATCACAAACCTCTGTAAATCACAAAACAACTCAGAACTACTGATAACGCAGATGTTTTGGATGTGAGTCAGTGTTGTTCTCACATTATCCTTAATACCCCTCCTAATCAAGGCTGGTCCTGTTAAATTAGTGTTTACAAAAAAGCCAAACAATAAGCAAATACATCCTGTGATACTCACTGCTTTGCTGATATCTCACATAATAAGCAGAGATCTGACATCATGTCAAGCGTGTTGGCAGTTCTGTCAAATCTGCAACTTTAGAGGCAGATTTTTCTCAGCGATTTTGATAAATCATAAGTTTACAACTTCAGGGGCGATTGATGTTAGAGGTTCCACCGTATTTCTTGCAGGTTGAAATCCATCTGTCATTAGAACCTACTCCACTCTGTGTACAAGAGTGAATTTCTGTCCCTCAAGGTACAATTAACACTAATACACTCCAGAGGTTAAATTACTGGCATCCAAGGGAACTGCAGCTTTTCCAATGGGAAACGAGTACAGGTATGTTCCAAAAACTGTGAGGTACAAAATCTCATATATTATAACAGTAAATCAAATCCACAATTTCGGCAGCATCAACGACAAACAGACACAATGCAGATTATAATGTTTCGACATTTACAGGAGAGGTTTTCAGGTGCAGGAGGAGGCCACTTACCCATGTCTAATGTTGTCACACACTCAGCTCTGACGTATAAATTATTGATCAAGATCATTTACAATCCATTTAGACACATTTTTACACAAGCGACGGTTGGGATGACAGCCTCCCAGGGAGCTGTCACACGCTCCTGGAATATACTTGGATGTTTTTTGACACAAAACCCCGAGGAAAATGGCGTCAATTTTGCTTGAGAAATGGGGAAAAAATAGCGAAATCGGGTATGCAGCCGATGTGTTGATAGAAAAAAAAAAAGAAGTCACCAAGGGAGGAGGAATCCAATTAGAGACGTTTATGTCCAACTCCAAGCTGAAAAAAGCTCTCTCTTTGCGGGTTGCCTGGCGGCCGGACAGAAAACGTCCCCGGGGTCCCTTGCAGGACCGCCGGCCACACTGGCGGAGCTTGGTCAAGTTAAGATCCTTCACAAATCCGTTCCACTGGGCATGCGAGAAGGAGAGGTGCGAAGGCTACTACCGCAGTCAAAACAAGCCCGCATCCGTCGAGCTTCAAGGAGCCGGTTTTCCAAGCGTGCAAAAATGTCAGCGACAAGATCGAGCTTTCAAGCCCAAGCGACAGTACGGAGGAGTCGGCGTGGTCGCCGCCCACCGCCGCTTGCAATGGGATCAAAGGCTCGGACTCTTCTGCGCTCTCTAGCTTCTGCTCTCTCTGATTTCCCGATCGGTGAATGTCAGAGCTTGGAGCCTGCTGTCTGGTAATGATCTCACACAGCCGACTGAGCTGAGACGTGGTGGAGCAGAAGAGAGGAGAAGAGCGGCGGGGAGAAGGAGCGATATCGCCTCCACCTGGCGGTAAGTCGCCCTGCGCGCATTCCCAAACTCAGCAATCCGCCTCCTCTCTTGCGGGGAGTCTTTTCAGTGACCACCACTTGAAGTGGTCAGTGAGCACCGAGCCCCGTATAAACAGCTGAAGAAGTCATTAAAACACACCACACTTACCACAGTAAGAAACAGTGTGGGAAGTACAGGAAGTACCTTGACTTACAAATTGAAATTCGTTACATTACTAAATCAACTCGATTTACTTGCAGGCCTTTATCAAATCGATGTTTCTCATGGGAATGAACTGAATTGTGCCCTTAAAAAAAACACAAGTTGTGTTCTTAATTGAAAAAAAGAATAGTTATACATTGTAAAACATAAATACCGTGGACCCCCACATATTTGTGGTCCGGCAACAGCAAATTCATCTATTAGTTGCTTTATTAAGAAAAAGACCAAACATTTTTTTTTAAATCATAGCATAGAGCATATTCGTGTTTTTGCGCAGGTTGACATGGCCTTTCAAAACCTGAATATTGCCAGTATTGGTGTTTTGAAAGTGTTTTTGACTGCATGTACTCATAGTAAGTCTTTTGAATGATCTTGATCAGGTCACTGAGAGCATAGAGCAGCGGTACCCGTGATTTTTTTTTTACCGGTTTCTCAATACTAAGAAACACATATTATTAAAAAAAAAAAAAAAAAAAAAGCAACTCACCAGATGAAATCTACTGTCGGATTTTAGCTGTTAGCATTGTGGCTTCTCCTTTTTCAATGTCAATGCACATTATTGCCACTTAGAGAACTGGAATAAATCATTACTCATCATCATCAATCAAAGAGAGTTTACGCAGTATTTGACAACAGAAATGTGAGGATAGCAATATGTGGATGTCTGTAAAAAGGACTATTAGAATTTCAACATTTAAAAAAATAGTAATTACGGAGATGCATATCGCACAGTTCATTGGCTTTAGGAAATGTATATCTCCAGATCTGAATTATATTACAGTTTTTTCTTTATCCCTCACAAAAAGTGATACCTCCTTTTAATTGTGCAGTCATCTCTGTCGTGTCTTTGCGTCCTAACTAAACGTATAAATCTCATCATATGCTGTTTTATTGTTGTATTTTTATGAGAAACAGTATGCAAACCCTTGGGTGAACCAATAAACATGTTTTATCGTCTTTGTCTCCACAGGACATGTTTGGCTCATTAACCATGAGTAAAATGACTATAGATGATGCTGATAAGCGTGGAGTAGCCTAATTGAACATGTGTTCAGTCAGACCATATAACAAGGACTTCTAATTCTGGTGTTTTTACCTGATTATGTCGAGCAACAGCCCTGTGGGAACACAGTTTATCATTGTCAAGCGTTACATCCATGTTGTGTTCGAATGTAAAATCTGACCTTCCTTATATGGAAAACATCCCTTTAACATTAACGAATAATGTAAATTATATCAAGTGCCCTTTTGAGTTTGTGTGTGTGTAAATATAAATTGAATAATCTCGGAGAAGTATTGCATTGGTCCAGCTGGTGTTTGTTTTCTGGTCTCTGTTTTGGTGTTTCCAGTCGATCAAGTCGTGTTGACTTTGGTACATCATATTTGTGAAGGCGATGGTATATCTTTCGTAAGATTTCTCATCATCATCAACAATTCCGGGATCCCTCGGATCAAGGGACATTTGCAATTGTAATACTTTTCTCGTCATCGATTATTTATACAACCAATTAAAATAAGGCATCGTCAAGTTTTCATGAAGCTAAGTAACACACACACACACACACACACACACACACACACACACACACACACACACACACACACACACACACACACATTTTTACCTCTGTTTATTTGCACCTAATGGACTGTTTTACCAATAAAAAAAAATACATTTAAAATCAATACTTTGCCATGGTAGGAATAATTTGGGACTTAACACAATAGAGCGTATTTGGGTTGAGACATGCTGACTGTTGTAATTCACTATCAGACTCACTAAACCATTCAGTCAATCCCTGCGGCCAAGACACATCTGCATTTGTAATGTTTCTCCAGCCATTAAATATTAATTTGTCACCCGTCTGTCAGTGTGCATGTGTGTGCGAGTGCCCACATGTATGTGTGTGTATTGATTTGGGATATGTGCAAGAATACAAAGAGACCCCCGAGACTCGAGAGGTCAACAGCTGCTCCTCAACAACCAATCAATTGCTGTGTATCAGAAAACACTACACACAGATACGCGGACACATACAGATGGCACTCTTCCTTCTCAAATGTGTTGCCATGGAAACCAGATACAGGCAGCCAAGAGGGAGCAGTTTTCCATCTTAAAACTGTAAATATTGAATTATGATGGAGTAGCAAGAGACGAGGCAACATTTGTGCTTCAATGATCAAGATAATCCTTTCATCTCTATTCACAGCTACAAGAAATCACTCGCGCGCATTAAGTTTAACATATAACGATGAATGTGTCTTTCCGATTCAGTCATTTATCCGACTCCATACTACACACACCCCCAATTCCTTCATCTCTCTCTGCCTTTTACGCTGGAAGAGATTCATTGCCTCAAGTGGGACTGCGAGTAAATAATTCCTGACCTGATTTGCAATGCATAAAAGAGAAAATCCCTCATGCTCACTTGCGTCGCGCCAATCATGCACTGTAATGTTGCAAGAGTTTTGTTGTTGGTCTAAGCGGTATTAGGAGAGATGAGAGGATGTGCGGGAGGTGGGGAAATGACTTCATTATTAAACACCTTGGCAAATATTTGAAATGAGACGAATCATGGGATAAATCACACGATCGTTACGAATAAAACAGTCAGCAAAGCTCATCATGAAAATAGTAACACCACCTGGATGTTCATGTGTGCATAAGTGTGTCTGGAAAGAGAGCAGTGAGAGTCATTATGCTAACCTTGAGATGACATTGTGAGAGGGGAAGCGGATCCCATCAATGAAGGGCTTTTCTCAGGGAGTCCACTAATCTGAAAGGGCAGCAGAGGGTTCATCAGAGCTGGGAAACCCATGGGACTGACCGAGCTAATGGGGTTGGCCCAGACACAGACATGACTGGAAACGCATGAAAAAAACAAAAAAGTCTGGTGCGATAATGCTGTGTGCGTGTGTGTTGTGAGAGGAACAACAACGCAATTTGTGTTTGTGTGTATGCAAGTCAGAAGAGGCGAGAGCCATGCTGATAGAGTGATGAATTAATGGGACCTGTGACAAGGTTGATTAGCAAGGCCTCGGCAATCTAGCTGGGTTAATGAGGTAAATGACTCCTTCGTAACACAATCGCTTGCTCCTGATCCACTGACATAAACCAGCGTGAAACTACCTTCTAAAGACAATTGACGAGAATATGCTGATACCTTTTATTTACGTCAGCCACTTTCTCTCACTTCGTGTGGACAATAATACATCATAACACATTATATATAATACAGACAATAATACAATCATAACAACTATTCCTACTCACGCCTTCAGCGAATCAAATCAAAGTCTCCTTTCACCAGTGGATCAGAAACGTCACTGTTCAAGAACATTTTGACAATGGACACTCAGAGGCGGGATTAAAACCAGTTACTGGTTACTGAGAACTACAAGTGCCTATTTTTTTAAAAAACATCTTTAGGTACACCTGCAAAATCTAAACAAGGTAACAACAGCAATTAATTCATTAAAAAATGGTACTGTATTGTTTTTATAAAGTAACAACTGGTTTGCCCAATAAAAATGACTTCATTCACCACTCTCACAACAACCACACTTAGTGCTGGAAACAAAATAAAAACAATATTCATTAAAATAATAACACAATAACAATCATAAATTATTTGTAAAAATATTATTGCTCATTAAGTTATACCACAGCTCACTTTACATCGGCATTTCGCATCCATACATTATTCCCTCTTGTTGCGCATGTTGTCTGAAGCTGTTGGGAGATGCGAGAGAGAGGAGCACGACTGAAGTGTCCATTTACCAGTAGGATGCCGGGATCGTAGATGTCACAATCACAGCCTGAGTGATGTCAATTACAATTACTACAAGCTGAGCTTGAAAGTAAACAAGCAAATGTCGTATCCTAACAACTGACAGTTTCACTGTTGGCGAGTAGCACACAAAAATAAAGACTAAAGAACAGAACTATGAAGCACTTTAAGTTTAATTGATGTAAAAGTGGTTATTCTTTAAATAAGGAATATGTTGGATTGACTCGAATGGGTGGTGGGTGTGCTCAGAAAGTGTTGTCCAGGAGTGTGACATCAAAGCCCAAAAAGAAACTTGATCAAAACCGGGGTAAAAATGATACATGTTTTAAATCAAACCTCCTGCAGTGTGCCATGAATAAATAAGGATAGTTCACTCAGCCTTTTGTCGAAAGAGACTTTTTAAATTAATGATATTTACTCTTGAACAGCTTCACTACCTTCATTAAAAGATTTTTGAAAAACTGTTACAAATGGCCGGTCGTACAGCGGAACTGTCCCCGAGGTTAAGGCAATGTTGCAGAGGTGTGACAACCCGGGCAGCCCCACAAGATCCAGAGTCTTGAGGAACTCCAGGCGGAGCTCATCCTCCCTCAAGGTCTTGCAAACGAGGAGCTTTTTAACCACAGCAGTGACTTCAACCTCAGAGATAGGAGAGCCCGCCTCAGAGTCCCTCGAGTTTTCTTTCTCGAAGGAAGGCGTGTCGGTGGAATTGAAGAGGTCTTCCACGTCTTCTCCCCACTGACTCACAACGTCCCGAGTTGAGGTCAGTAGTGCTCCATCTTCACGATACACAGTGTTAATGGTGCACTGCTTCCCCATCCTGTAAATTCTGGATGACCAGAATTTCCTCGAAGCTGTTCATAAGTCGGTTCCCATGGCCTCGCTGAAGACGTCCCATGCCCAAGTTTTTGGCTCGGAGACCACCTAAACTATGTTCCACTTGGCCAACCGATAGCCGTCACCTGCCTCTGGAGTCTCACAGGCCAATAAGGCCGGATAGGACTCCTTCTTCAGCTTTTACTGTCGGTGTCCTAATCAGAACACCCCTCATGAAAGTGCATTTACTAAAGTACATGCGCAGGCACACACACACACACACACACACACACACACACACACACACACACACACACACACACACACACACACACACACACACACACACACACAGGGAGAGAGCAAGATCCTGCAAGGCTTTGCTTTCTATTTGGCTCGAAGGCAGAAATCCCTCTAATGAGAGTGCTAACCATGTCTGACAGGAGGTACCGACCAGAACCAAAAAAGGCAATGCAGGTGGTAACCAAGACAACAGTAAACACCACTTTAAATACACCTAACTGTGGGCTCCATGCTGTCTCTGTCAATCTGAAGAGATGAAACTGCTCCCATCCACCCACCACTCATGAAGACATTATCATAATTTTGTTGTCGCTCAATAAGCCAAGCAATCAAATGGGCTCATCTTGAAGTCCTGCACAAGTGTGTGTGCTGAGGCTCACATACTAGACAAAGAAGATGGCAAACAAAACCTGTCTTCTTATTTATTCAAACTGACAACTGGCATCCAACAATGTTGGAAGCCTTACATTGGTCGTACACAAAAGACAGCAAATTAGTCTGTGACTGTCCCTCTTCCTGTCCCTCTTCTGCCTATAGAGAAGTGGCTTCAAGTTGTCATGAGCCTGTAATCATTGCTCCCGGTATATTGCTTGTCTTCACTGGGAACCTTCTATTATGATTAGTTACAAATAATTAATACATTGTACACTATGTAGAGTATCTACATAGCATCCAACATGTGTACTGACATCGTATGTGGTATCATACTGCATATTGTGGTTCCCCAATCTACCGTGTCTCAACAAGTGAATGATGTCGCCCACTTGAAAAAATTTAGCGCCTCTCCTGCGATTGACGTCTCCATCAAATAGACGGCTGGTATGTCTGAAGTTCATTAAATAAACCAATATCCGTGACCACACATTTAGGAAAACAGGTACATTCCACTGACAACTAATACAAAAGCTGCATTAACAAATGTGCATTTACAAAGATGGCCAGTTTTGATTGACACTGTTTTGTTTTGTTTTGTTTTTTTAAATCAAAATGTCTATTATTGTGGTTGTCTGTAGAGGTGCAGACAGCAAAGTGATTTGTTTATAATATTGTTCTTTGCCCCACATGTTTAGTTGGCTAATCGTAGCACTGGATCTCAGCACACAGCTCAAATACTGGAATACATCATACATGTGTACCTTAATGTTTTTCTCAATCCTCACTCAATGCCGCATATGTTTTGGACCCCCATGTGCCTACTTTGCCTATGTCAAAACACACTTCTGCGCTCCATGTCAAGACTGTCAGTGCACAACTCGCTTACCACATTTAAATGGAATGATTGCCACTTTAATTGGGAATGACTGAAGATTGTGATCATTCCCTGAGCGGGGTAAACCTCCCTCTCTCAGATCTCTGCGAAAGTACCAACCCACCTCCAATGCAGAGCTGCTGTCGGGGGTGTTCATAAAACACTATATTATGTGAATATTATCGCAATAGATTAAATATTTTAGGCTTCCGCATTATGTTATATTTTTCATATTTTGTTAAACTTGATCATCAACCGTCGGCGAGTATTTAAAAAAACACTGATACTAATTCAATGACCGATATTAATATTCCATAACATGAAATGACAATAGTTAGACTGTAATCAGCCTATTACATTCTCAGGAAACGCATTCGGTTTGTTCTTAGCATGTGTGAA